AAGCCCATGGGGTTGCTATGAGTCAGAATTTGCTCAGTGGCAGTGGGTTTTGTATGCACTGTGGAGCCCTGGTGGTGCAGTGGTTAAGAGCTCGGCTGCTAACCGAAAGGTCAGCAGTTCGAATCCACCAGCCGCTCCTTGGAAACCCTATGGGGCAGTTTGACTCTGTCCTATAGGCTTGCTATGAGTCGAAATTGACTCAATGGCAAGGGTTTTTTTTTTTTGTTTTTTTTTAATATATGCACATCCTTGTGCTTGGATCTTTGTAGATATTAACTCTGATTCTTACCAGAGCCTTAAAAGAAGGCACTGTTACCTACACTTTACAGATAAGATCACTGGGGTTCCTAGAGGTAAACTAGTTTGCTCAAAATTCCCTGGCTAGTAATTGGAAATACCTGATTCACTTCCCCTGTCGCCTGCCTCCAGACCACTAGGTATGACTCTGTGCGCCGTCTCCCCGTTACACTGGTGAGCTCCTAAGGGGCAAGCACTGTCCCTTATCACCCAGAATTCTTAGCATAGTCTCCTACATACAATTTGGGAAATGTTTTCTGAGTTGTGCTGTATTGGTGCTGATTGACACTCTGCGCCATAACTAGTCTCATCTGTTCATTTTCACTTCCTTCATCCACAACATCATATATTAGTTTTAGCGTGAAGGCACAGTGGTCAAAACACGGCTTCTTAAAAGTTGGACCATAGCTTCCTGAGAGGCTTATACCACACTTAATGCCTATTCCAACATGTTTTTAAGCGGAATTAGCTGGATTCTGGGGTATTCTCTTCTGGGCCTCTATCTAGAGAATGTTTGTCTGCCAGGCCACTAACTCTGTGTTTACCTCCTTTCCCAAGTATCTGCCCCCTGCCTTTTATTTCAGTTTCTGACTTCCTTGTTATTCCTCAGGTTTGTTTGTTGGTTTGTTTCTGTGCCCAATACTATTTATTTCTTAGCCACAAAGAGATCCAAAACTGTTGGTTGATAGGATTGTATGGAATTTAGGGTTTGTTTTTTTTTTGCCTCATCTATTGGTGCTATAGAAGACTAAGTTTAAGTACCATTAAGCACTTAACTTTTTTTATATTTAGCAAACAATTTCCCCTTAAATATTAAGAAATCATAGATGGAAAATCTTCCACTATATCCCATCTTTCCCGAGTCCTTGTTTCTGTAAATGGCTGTAACCATTTGTGTTATGTCTTGATGACTCCACATAATAATAACAAAAGACTAGCAATGTCATTCCCCAAGTTCCACTTATAAAATCACCTTGAAATGTAAATAACTTTAAAAAATATTTTTTAAATGTAAATGAATCTATTCATTAGGAAACATCTTTACTAATGGAACTTGTGTTACAGAGGTAGTCAGATTAGAGAATTTTTTTTCCCCCTCTATTTTCCAGATATTCTGGATTGTGGTTCTATTGCTTTTTTATAATCAAATAAATAAATAAACTTAGGCATTAAAAAGAAGAAAGATATTTGCCATTTATTTTTTCTTTTGATCTTAACTCAAACATACAACAGCCACTTGGGGGATGTTCCAGGTCAAGCTCATTCAAAGAGTCAGAGGCACTGGTTTCCTGCTTTTACATTGACAGTGCACCTGTGTGCCTAAGGCACTCTTTTACTCACACTATTCCCTTTTCAATGTGCCCTGCCTCATCTGGACTTTTCTAAGCCATTTCTAACTCTAAAGACTGCCCTTGTCCCTGAAGCATCAGCTTTGTATGCTTCAGGAAACTGGTGCCTGGAGTGAGTGTGTGTGTGAGGGGTGTGGGGAGCACTGTAAATTCTTTTGATAAAGCACCTGTACCGCACCCCCTTCCAAACAGTTTTCAGACTAGGAATCTGGGTACTTCCTTAAGATGCCCCCTAAGAGCTCCTCAGATGGTGAAGATGTTTATTTCAACCACTGTTGCTATAAACTAAGATAGATCAACTCTGAATGAGATGCACCCACCCCCACACATAGCTTCCCTGGAGTCTTTGGGCCTTGATGCGGTGGGGAAGAATGGCAGGTGTGTTGAACTGTTAATGAGAGGTTTCCTCCGTGGGATTGCCTATATCCTGCCCACCACAGAGGCTCCTGTGAATAACTTTACCTTTGAACTTTCCTTGTATTCAATCCTTGATCCATGGGATTTGGTGACTATCCCTGGCTGGCAGGAAGCTTTGATCCTTGGGGAGTCCAGAGGAAGTCTGTGATGTGTGGGATCCCCAGAGTTACAGGGACTGGGGAGAAGCGGTACCTGGGTGGATTGCTAAGACAGACCCATTAATTAAGAAGGAGCCTTTGTTTAACACTCAGTTACCTAAAAAGGAGATCCGGTAACTGATAACAAGGAACTCAGCACCCCTCAAGTATGAAGTGGTGTTTGCACAAGCATTATTGTTATTTTAAGGACACAGCAGTGCTGAGGGGAAAATTCCTACCCACACCAGGAAGGAACAGAACACCTTAACAGAACAGAATATCTCAGAACTTCCCTTTTAACAAATAAAAGTTAACATTACTTTGTATGTTAGGAGGACCTAGCAAAAATCTCTTAGGATACTTCTGACTGGCTGTAAGATTCCTCTAGGAAGAAAAAAAAAAAGATGACCTTATAATAAACAGTGGAAACTTTAGAATTTCTCTTTAAGAGTCACTTTGAGCTATAACACATTGGGGAGAGACTTAGGAGACTTGTTTTTAAGTTGTATCCGCATAACAAGCATGTTGGTTTTACTTAAAACCCATAGCTATTGCCACAGAGTCAATGCTGACTCATAGTGACCCTGTAGGACAGAGTAGGTCTGCCCCATAGGGTTTCCAAGGCTATAAATCTTTAAGGGAGCAGACTGCCACATCTTTCCCCCGTGGAGCGTGGTTTCCAACCACTGACTTTTCCGTTAGCAGCACCACCAGGGATCCTTTTTGGTTTTGCTTAGAATCTGCATTTATTTGAAGTGACTTGGGGTTGAGGGGACTTGCTAAAGCTTCCCCAAGCCAACTCCTTGGTGCCACCCATTGGTTGCAAATAATTGTCAGAATGAAGGCCCGTTCACATGTTAGGAGATGTTCTTCTCCCCCCACCCACCCACCCCCACAGGCAGAATCACTTCCTTCTCTCTGCTTCCACAGAATCATGGACATTTATCAGAGTGCAGATCACACTGTATGATGTGTGTCAGCTTCTTAGCTAGGCTGTGGCAGCCAGAGGGTAGGGATTGTGCATTATTCATCTTTTTATTACCAGCCCACTGCCTGGGCACGAAGTAGGCCCTTAATAATAATTATTGAACGAGTGAGTAATCATGAGGCAGTAGCTGTGGAGAGTCACCCTTTTGCCAGAATTGTCTCTCGTTTTCACACTGTCAGCCTTGAGGAAAGATAGGACTTCCTCACCTGAAGATAGATTATGAAAGGGCAGTAAGGATAGTGCCACGGAGTCGGAAGCCTGGGCTAGGTGATCTAACTGGTATTGTGTCTGAGCTGCTCCCTGAGAAAACGCAGGAGAAAAGCCTCAGCAGAGATTGGGCAGCATCTTTTTGAAGTTTGTTCACAGGATTCAGCTGCTGAATGTGGTGACACTGGACTTGGAGTACTGAGAATTGTCTGCAGAGCTGCCTGCATAATTTGTGGGGCCTAAAAATGTGGGACCCCTTGTTCAAAAGCAAGAAAAAAGTACCATTAAAGGTACTAAAATAGAAAGTTTTTTCTTTCTTCCATTCTCTTCTCTCTCAACTTGTCACGGTGTTTATTATTTGCTATTTAATGTTGTTCTAAGTAAAGAAAAATTAAAATGTTAAACTATTAGCATGAATTTTCCTGTTCATTTTCATATTGTGCAATGCCAATTTTACATGCAAATATAAGAGCACTTAATTAATATGTGGAATCACTGAAATGAGACAATTTGTATTCTATAGTTTATACATGCATACGCATTTCATTCTTAGAACATTGAAAACTTTGCACAAAACTAACTCACCTGTTTTTATTTCACTTTTTGATAGGTGAACATTCTACCAGTACTCTCTACTTTTGGCTTACTGATAAATAAGAAAGGACTGAAAGGAACAAGGACTATGAGTTGTCCTATCCTTTTCCTTCTAAGTCATCATTTTCAATGCAAATGGCTGGCTAATGCAGGGAATTAACATGAGTAAGAGTATGATAGTATTCCTTGGTTGTTTGTGTTTCTTAGAATGCCTCTGCCTTCTTTTCTTTGCTTGAGTCAAGTTCTGGTTCGAATGGAAAGTACGGCCCCTCTAGGCTGTCAGTGCCTCACTTGCTCTGTCATGAACGTCATGAACGTAACGTATTTACCTTGTACTCACTTTGAGTCTTGCTAAATTCCCACACATCATGGGTTCACCAAAATTCTCTGCTCATGTGGTGGACACACACATTGCATGTATCTCTTCACCTCACACTCATGCTGTATTTTCTCCTTGGACTTCACTTACAAAACACAAGTTCAGAGCTATGGAAATGGAATTATGGTGGAAAATTTTAAAAGTAGTAGCAAGGAAAGGCATAATTGTTGAAGGAAATAGCCTCCTGGGCTTCATAAGATAGGAGCCTATTCTGTGGTTGTCAGAAGAGGGCTTTTGTGGGGAACTAGCAAGGAAAATGCTAGTAATCATACTCTAGGAGAATCTTAGCTGGGCAGTATTGCCTGTCTGTGATTCTGAGGTCTCTGCCATGCTTTGATACTAAAGGAAGGAGTCCGAGATGTATGCTTGAGCCTTGAGAGTAAAGGCCTCTGTGGTGAGGGAGCAGGAGTAAATGAGAAACCCAAAAGGAGGCTTATCTCAATACAAGTGTTGGGGCTGTGAGGTGGAGCCATCTCTCCCTCCATCTTCATCCTTAGAGGGCCATGCATTATTTTCTTAAGGGAGCCTGTGGGTTTCCTCACAGAACCCCTCAGACAGGAGGAGAAGGCAGTTAGGGCAAACTGAGAAATGTTGGCACAGGAGACAGTCATAACTGTGTCTTTCTCCTACAGGTGCTGAGGGATGTCCTCAAGGATCTCTACCACCTGCTGAAGCACGTGGTGTGTTTGGAGCCCGATGACGTGGCCAAGGTCCATGCTCAGCTGGCCCTGGAAGAGTTGGATGAGATAATGAGAAACTTCCTGTTCCCACCACAGAAGCTGGAGAAAAAGATCGTGGTCCTGCCATAACTAGACCTGGCTCAAAGGACGTAGAGGAGGGAGGGAGGGAACAAGCAGCGAGAGCAGCGCCCAAGCCTTCCAGCAGGTGGCCCCACTGCCTTTTGGTGCGGGCAATATGGCTAACCCTGGGGGTTGCTTTATGACTCTCGCTACTTGTGTCTTCAGGCTGACCTTCTGAAAACATCTATTTAGCCACCTTGCATCCAGCCTGGAGTGTGTACAGTTGAAAGAAAAAGGATTACAAATCTCATTAATCTGCACATTTTCACTGTCTTGTAACATTTAGAGAGGGATGCTTACCTGATGGAAGTATATTTTTAACACAACTGATGGAATTTGATTAAGTGACCATTCTCTTGTGACTTGAGTAGAAGAGGTTGGCCACCCATGTGTGAGACGCCTTGATTTTCTTCTGTGGTGAGATTCTTCTTCCTAGTGATAATGAGGACCAGGCAGAGCTAGCCATCCTTGGCTGCTTAAGAGGCATTTCAGAGTTTGGAGATGCAGTTGGAGGTGGGGAAGGGAAGGAAATTGTTATCAAAACATGCAAAATAGATTAAAATTATCTTGCCTGGGAAGAATAGCAGGTCTGAATCTGGTCCTCTGCTACTGAGATGGAAAACTATGAAGTTGAGAGGCTTTGATCCCTAGAAAAGAGAATTAAGCTGGTTGAATTTTCCAAAGAAGGGTAAGCTCTGTGTCTGTTCTCCCTGGCCATTTTCTTTCCCTCCCTCTGCCTTTGTTTCTGTAGAGTTTCCCTGATTATCAAAAGAAGAGAGGCAAAAGCATCTCAGATGAGAGTTTATATATTGCATTCAGTGCTCTGCTTCTTTAGAAAGATGAATGCTTAGACAATAGGTTAGTACAGAATGAATGCTGGAAACTATGTTGCGTATTGGTGACCTGATGCCAGGTTTATTGACATAATTTCAGATGTAGCATATGCTGTGGGCTCCTGTTGACTTATATATTTTGGCCACTGCACTTTGATTGCATCTTAAAGAGATGACAAAAGGGAGAAACTGGCTGACTGCTTCAGACAAGTGTCCCCCTGAAAGGCTGTCAACACCTTGACAAGGCTAACCCACAGCCCTATGACCAGTGGCAGGCTTTGCAGGGCTTGGTACAGAGTTCTGTCAGAGGTTTTATCTGTACTGTCTGGAATGATCAGGCCAGGGGAACCAAAACACAATTTCCAAAAAGTCTCAAGAGACTGAAGGATCTGTATATAGACATGCCCATTTCCAGCTAACAGGATATTTCTCTCTGGCCTGATTTACAGGCATGTTCTTAGCTCAGAAATTTTTGGTGAGCATCTCTTTAAAGAGGCCAGATTACACACAATTAACAGATCACAAGTTAGTTTAGTGAGCAAAGAATTAGGACAAAGGCAATTAGATGTTTTTAAGGAATATTTCCATTTAGCCAGGGTAGCTGTATTCATTTCCATTCTCCAGATCAAGGATGTCTAGAAAATTGGGATTGGGGCTTTCAAATCAGAAAAGAATCTCTTTTGGGCCAGATGAATATACGCTAAAAATTCTTGTCCCTTGTCTTTCTTTAGCTAAACTTCATCCAGCCCACTTCAGATAATCAGACTGAATATGTTAGATAGTATGGTTGATTTAACCCACAGCTTTATTTGCATTAAATACACTCCACTTCCAGGGACATACCTTGATTGATCACCTTGATTAGACTGAGAAACACTCTAGTCTAAAAACCTAGTTTCCTAGGGAGAGTCTCACAAAGCATCCTAGTCCCTTTATTTCCATTTATAAATCACCTCTTCATTTGAGCTATTTGGCAAGTGGCTAAAGCATCTGTTCTTTATTGATTTTGATGGGTTCAGTTTCAGAGAGTGACTTTTTCTGACTTTGTTACCAAATTCAAAAGAAAGATACTGTAATCCTCCTGAATGTGACAAAATTATTCAATTTTTCTAAATTATTAAATATATCTTCCAAATTATTAATATATACATGAAGATTCTTGGGAAAGAACATGAAAACTTTAGCATAATAAAAGCATAAAACTAAAAAAGAAAAGAAACACATCTCAGGGGCTTGAGACAGATGGGAAAAGCAAAGATGGCACTTCTCTGCACAGTGCCTTCAAGAGGTCTTATGCTATGCAACAGCAACATACCTTGCTTGCCTCCCACCTCTGCCCATCTCTTCTCCTTCAGAGACCACCTTCTTCCTGCTGTCCATTGCAGCCTCCTCCCTCCATATGTCCAACTGAAGCTTTCCTGGGCCTCTTGCATTAAAGGAAAACTGCTTGCTCTGAACCCTTTCTAATACCCAGAGGCTCGTCATCTAGCCAGCTCTGTATCACTCACTACATCTTTTGCTTGACCCCATCCCTTCTTCTCCTCTTCCTTTCCCTTCCTGGTCTTTTTCTCCTCTTTCCAGGCCCACTGTCCACGACTCGCTTGGCTTACCAAAAATGGCATTGAGGCAAGTGGTATGGAAAAAAAAAAAAAGGAAACAGTTGCTGTTGAGTCAGTTCTGACTGATGGCAACCCCACGTGTGTCAGAATAGAACTGTGCTCCGTAGGGTTTTCAATGGCTGATTTTGCGGAAGTAGATCGCCAGCCCTTTTTTCTGAAGTACCTCTGGGTGGACTTGAACCTCCATCCTCTTGGTTAGCAGCTGAGTACATTAACAGAGGTGTGGAAGGAGCCCAAAAGCAGTGGCTTCAGCCAAACCCCAGGCTTTCTTCGCAAGCGTCAACTGCTTGTTCAGGTTAGACTTCCTGAACATTCTGGAGAGTTTCTCTCTTGGCTGTATTTTTCTTCCTCCTTGGCACTAACTTGCCCTTCTACAAGTCCTCTGTTATTTAATCAGAAATCTCTTAACTTTCATTTTCTCCTTATCACCTCTTCACACACATAATTTTCTATATTTCTTTGTATCTTCTTCCTTATCTTTTGCCTCATTTCTTGACCTCTCTTCTCCATTTCTTCTATTTTTCTGTGACTCTGCCCACCCAACCACATGTAAGGGCCAAGGTCAGAAACCAAATCACAGACAGTGACAACTTACTGAGCAGAGCGCTCCTACTATGTGCCAGATGCTGTACTAGGCACTGAGGACACAGCAGTGAACAAAATAGACAAAACCCTTACCCTCAGGGAGCTTGCATTGTAGTGGAGGGGACAGACAATAAACAAGATAAAAAATAAAATAGAACATCAAATAGTGATAAATGCTCTGGAGAAAAATAAAGTAGGGAAGAGGGATGAGATGCTTATGGAGGGTGGGAGCTGTAAGTTTAGATACATTGTCCAGAGAAGACATCACTGAGAAGTTGACGTTTGAGTAAAAATTAAAGGAGGTGAAGGAGCGACCCTGAAGATATTTGGGGGAAGAGCATTCCAGGCAGAGGGAATGGCAAGTCCAAAGGCCCCAAGGTGGCAGTGTGTCTGGCAGGTTTGAGGAAGAGCAAGGAGGCCAGTGTGGCTGGAACAGAGTGAACAGAGGGAGAGTGGAGTGGCTGAGGTCAGAGAGGTGACTAGCCAGGTCACATTAGGCCTTTTGGGCCACTTGTTGGGTGAAGGAGGAAGCCACACAACCATTTTTACCTGAAGCCCCTTTAGCTTGTTTCTGGAAAGTACTTCGAGGTCATGATGCTAAATGCTATAAATGGGAAATACATCTAACCAAAAGGAGTTTCATACCCAACCACACTTCTCAATCAAAATGATGCAGCAAGCCCCATCCCTTTTCATTGTACCCTCATGCTCAACTTAGCATCACTTGGCTCTGTGTTGTTACAGCTCCTCTTCCCTGGCAGCAGCAGTTTCTCCTCATCTCCCCAAGAAGAAAGGAAAGCAAATGTGTTGCTCTGCTCTCCACCCACGCAACTTCTCTGTCCCTTTGTCTGTGAGAGGATAGAGTGGATGGACCACTGCCCTCCACCTGCCTGTAACTCTTGCCAGCAGTTGCTGCTCGGAGGGATGGCTAAGACATCTGAAAGTTGATCAGTTGATAGGGCCTATACAAAGCCAGATTGGCTTCTACAGTCTTTCTGCACAAAAATCCAAAGTCTCAGCTGAATTTCAATGGCAAAGGAAGAGAGTCAGAAACGGGAGTTGATTTCTATCAGAACTGCTGTCCATGGTGGGCCATGAGAGACAGCCACTACTCCCTGACCATGGACCTGCAGGGGTCTTCTTCCCCTGCCCCTTGGAAAGCAGCAGCAGTGATCTCTGTGAGCATGGCTGTGTCCTCCATCCAGCATGTTCTGCAGCCACAGACATTCTGCAGCAGCCTCCTGCAGTGCACAGCACCTCTGACTTGCATGCACCACTCTGCTTGGAACAGAAATGCTGCTTGGGGGTTGGGAATTTGTCTTGCTTCTTATAGTCCCCAGTGCTGCACTGTTCCCTGCTGGCAGGGCTCAGGTCTGTTCTCAGCACATGCCGCCAAGCATATTGGCAAGTGCAGAGTGAATGCAGCCACCTTCACCATCAGCACTGGAAAGGGCTTCACCCACTTATTGTTTGAGGGGTCATCACCTATTGTCCCTCCCCACAGGTCTTTGTACTGATTGAGTAGCTCCATGCTACCATGAGGGCTCAGTTATTGTACCCTCTCCCCAGATAACCCTCTGCAGTATTTGGAGCATAGAGTAGTAGCAAGATCAGTTGTTCTGTATTTCCTTTAGTTTGGAAAGTTATTTTTCATCCATAAGATTGTCTAATTCTCACAACAACCTTGTGGAATTGGGAGGCAAGCTATTCTTAACCCGTTTTGGTGGGATTTGACCCCAGGTCTCCTGGGTCTTAGCCAGGATCCTGTTTACTACATTGGAAAGCCGTCCATCAGTCTGATTTTGAACATGTTGAATACTGTAGAGCCTCTCCCCACAAAAATGAGTGTAGAAGAAAAAGCCTTCCAGTTCTGTCTGAGATGCGAACTCAGGTGCTCAAATGTTCCCATGAATCCAGCATGAAGAAGTCGTTTGGTCCTCACTGACACACGCTGAGGGGTACATACCAAAAAACCCTGTGCTGGACCTCTGCCCTTTCTGAGAGTTCTGGGAATGGCAGAATCCTCGAGTACAGATGCCCTCGCTGCTTATTTGTTTATTTTTATTATTATTACATGTTATGTCAGTTATAATGAATGTAATGTATATGTAACAATGAAAGAAAAATTCTCACTCCCTCACCTCCATTCCTACCCCAAGCTTACCATTGATAATTTAGTGCATATTCCCTCCAGATATTTCTTCCCTTTCACCCTTTCCCAAACAAAACTAACATCCACGACTGCTTTCAAAAACAAAAATAGGATCATTACTGTAGTATCCTATGTATTTTTTCTTAGTCATATATCAGAGACACTCTCCTGTCCGTACTAGATCCCTCTCCCTTTCACAGGCTGCATGTCTTCCATTGTATAGGTGAACTACATACAGCTTATTTAACTATTTGTTGAGTTGTTTCTAATTTTGTTTGTTACCAATGATTCTTAGTGATTCTCAAACATAACTCTTTGCATACTTAAGTGTTTGTATAGGATAAGTCCAAAGAAGTTGGAATGCTGGATCAAAAAGGTACGAACGTTTTAAATGTTAATACCAAAATGTCCACCAAAAGTTTGTACAAATCTTCACCTCCCATCCTCACTAACATTGCTTTATACCCATGAAATGCATGCAGGTTCAGTCTCCAAAGCAAAGTGTTGACAACATTTTCTAAATAATTCAGGACTAGGAAATCTTCAAGGGCTAGGGTTTTCTATATGCCAAAACCACCAACAGGAGCACAGGCTTTGCAGGTATGCTCACCAGCAGCCATACCCTGGCTACAAGTGTTAGTGGCTTACAAGTGCTCACCCTGGAGAGAAATCCTGAGACCATGCAAAACCCAAAAAAAAAAAATTGTTGCCATCAAGTCGATTTCGACTCGTAGCGACCCTATAGGGCAGAGTAGAACTGCCCCATAGGGTTTCCAAGACGCGCCTGGTTTCCACGGAGCGCCTGATGGGTTCAAACTGCCAACCTTTTGGTTGGCAGCCGAGCTCTTAACCACTACGCCACCAGCGTTTCCAAGACCATGCCAGCCTATTAGAAAAGTCTTTTACCACATCCCCATCTCTGAGACTCTGTCCTTAGTGTCTGGAATATGCCTTCTAATGGGATTTGAAGTGTCCCCAGGATAGTGACCGTATTTCCTAAACCAGACTCAGAGAATGATGGGCCCTCGCAGTATTGGGTTCAGCCTGTAAAACCCAGGATGAATAGTTGCTGTAGTTCTGCATCACTGTACATAATAATCATGATCACAGTTATCACCGTAAGGAGCTTATTAGCATTTGTGTGCGCTTGGCACATACTAATCCACTTACTTCTCACGTTGGGCCTGTGAGGTAGGTATTATTATTATCCCCATTTTACAGATGGGAAGACTGAGGCACACAAGAGGCTAACTTGCCTCGTTACACAGCTAGTAAGAAGTAGCCAAACCAGTATTTGAACCCAGGCAGTCTGGCTCCAAAGACTATGCTTTTAACCACTGTGCTTTGCTTCTACCCAAAAGATACTAGATTTCTGAATTCTAAAAAACTAAATATAAGTGAGGATAAAGAAAGTGGTTCTATGTTTATTTAATTGGACCATCTGTGTCAAGTTAAGCTTTAGTCCTGATTTCCACAAAATATTGTCCTCACACATCGAAACCCAACCTCAAACACCAGAACTTGTTATATATTTTGCATTTGACCTTATAGTTTGCCCAGCGGCTGGAGATAAGGTTTGTGAAAGTTCCCCAGCCCACCTGCTTCTGTACGTGGGCAGTTTTTGTAAATTGCTTATAGAAAGGCTTCCTTCGTGGGGCTGGCCAAAGTAGTAGACATCTGTGACAGAGGAAGGCAGAAAGTGGTGGTGTGTAGGTGACACAAGAAAGTAGCAAGTCTTCGCATGAACCCCAACCAGAGCCCAGAAGTGTCCCTTTTTAAGGTGTTGTGTTTTGTGTGTGTGTTTAACCTTTCATCTCCTGTAAGCAGGACTTCAGTTCTCAGATTTCATTTTCAG